AGTGCGTGAAACACGCCAAAAAAAATTGTCCAGGTATAGATGACATCGAAAATATAAGCTTTAGAAGTTATTTTCCATGAAGGAATATGATTTTTTAAATACATAATTAACTCATGCATCAAATTTCAATATTTTCCAAACACTTGGAAATCGGCTAAAGTTATTTCCATTTCTAAACAATGATATGATATGATATTAACAGTTATCGACCTATGAATCTCTTGAGCTTTCTAAGCAAGATCTTTGAAAGGGGAAAAATAGTATATTTTATATGAACGATTTGGTTTTAGAAATCAGCATAATGATTCACACATATACAAGTACGCATATGTCACCGTGTTACGAACAAATTTGAGGCTAATAAATCCATAGGGTTATTTCTGCTTGACTTTGAAAAAGGCTTTGGTTATGTTTGATATACTGATCTAATATGAAATGGTACTTTTGGTATTTTGCTCTTGAACTTAAATTAATCCGCGGCCCTTTAGATAAAGCTACGTTTCTCTGTTGGAAAAATAAGCTACACGTTGTCTGCAGTGCGTTACGTATTCCAAACGGCATGCTCTTGAAATGGTTTAAAGTCCACCTGGAGCAGTGAATAATCCTCCTCTCCTGAAGGATGATCTGAAAGAGTCTGCCAAGAAGCATCTTTCGAATCAATACTAGATGCGAATTCAGCTCTAAATAATTAGCAAGACCAGGTTCAATATGTGGCGAAGAGAAGGCATACCATAGAATAACTACATTCAATTTTCTGCTGTGTAAGGACAAACACTTTTTGTCTGGTATACGGTCGAGATACGGTGGTTTACGGTGTAGATAAACAAGCATTGTTAGATTCGTCAACTACAACTAATGACAACTTTCTCTACAATTCATGATGGATTAATCTTTTAATGCCTGGAGAAACACAGAAGTGGCGTTGTCTTATTAGCTTTGAATCACCAGTGCCAATTAAGTAGGAAAAAACCTCTGCCTCCCTTGACTTTCTTTACGGAATAACGGGAACGCATCTACAACTATTTGTAATAGACCTTTCCGATTTATACTCAACGCTCTTTCCCACCAAAGAAACGCTGTCCCCAAGATTGCTATTCTTTATAGGCAGTAAATAAAAATAAATTCGAAAAATCAATACCAAAATTTAATTTTATGAAAGACTACGTGCCATATAAATTAATATCGGTTTACTGCTTCCACGTAAACTCATATACATTTATAACATTCAGAACCATCTCTCGAACTTTAACAATTAATAGAAACACAAGTATCAAGAAGTCGGAAGCTGAATGTACCCAATGAACTCACTTCTGCATAAGGGCAGACGTCGTTAGATCGACGAATTACTGAAAAGTTTAGATTCGTTCATAATCCCTACCAAACTAAGCAAATCTGCAGAGCAGAGCGAACACTTACTGTCAAAAATTCGGCACTCCTTGAAAAACTGATAATAGAGTTTGTTTGGTCTGCATATCCTGGCAAGTCTTCCGGGTGTCATCAAGTTTGTTAAGTGTTGTTAGTTTAGGTAATGTAACTGCAATCAATAGACTTCGTGCACGATGTGTTCAATATTTTAAACCGAGGGTGGACCGCAGGATTAAGATCAGGAAAGATCGGTTTGATAGTGTTGGGTTTGAACGTCTGTATCCGTTTTTTAATCTCAGCACTGTTGTTTGAAAATTTGACATAAGCATTGCTATTCGATAGCAGGGACGGATCGATGGCAACGCAAGAACCAGTCACTTGTTTTGCCTGCGAAAAACCTGTTGGCAGTTCTATATAGGATCTCGAAATTTCCGCAGTGTTCCGAGCTAGAGCTTCTACTCTATTAAAAAAATTATCAACACTCATACTGCTTGAGGAACTGTAAAATTTAAACTTTCACTATAAATTGTTTGAGGGTCTTTATCGGGTCTGTAAACTATGTAAACTAGGTATCAAATTTACATAGAAATCCCTTGGATAGGCCTGGGCGTGGTTATCGCATATTTTGTCTTCCTGGTGAAGCATTACTCGAAAGTCTTTTAAAATGTTTCAAACATCGCTGACAGTTGAGTTTGAACATGTTCAAAAATTATATTTCATCGCTAAGGTCTTGCTGGCTACTGTAACATGTCCTGAGTGGTAGATAATGTGGAATTTTGAATATTTACAGATTACACCTTTCTATAAAACCATTTCAAAGCAGGCTTCCAAAAATAATTACGAAAGTTTAGTTATTTTACGTGTAAATCAGTAACACAGCAGGTTAAAAATCCCTACAAAATCAGTTACACTCAATAAAATTTTTGTATAGAATAGTAATAGAGAAATTATTGCAAAACTTTGTAATCGACATTAATTCTCTATAAACAAACAGCTCAAATTATTATAATTTTGATAAGAATTATTGCTACTTTCATAAACAGTTTTTCTTAAATTTTTCCGCCAAAACACAAATATCAGAAGTTTAAAATGTCCATACAAGATTTTCTTAATTTTTTTAAAATTGGGCCTTTCACCATTAAGTTACCTAAACGCAAAAAAAAAGAAATCGGTCTACATTCGGTTTACAGAGTTTTGAAATTAATAAAGCACAAAAAAGGTTTTATGCAGTTGGTACAAATTTAATCAACAGAAATTGTAATTCCAAGATGTCATAAGTGTGGGTCGACTTATGGATACTGCTTGGATAACCAGACAAGTTTTAGTTAAATTGTCCAAGAATAAGATTCTAATAGTTATGAAAAACCCATTAAATGAGAACGTTAAAGTGGGAATTATTGCTAAATTGCGGGTATCGTAGGACGTATTCGAATTATATGAATAGTGACGTAAATGCAAAAAAAATTTTGTTAGAAGCAAACAAAAAAGAATGAAAGGTCCAAAATTTGTCAGCACTAGGTAACTAGTATTATGGGATTCAAAGTCATGAACTTTACAACAACGTAAGCCCTAAAAAAGAAATAAATTAATTAGATACCTTTTTTTTGTAATCAATTTTATAATCAATTTATTCTATGAAATAGAACACTAATTTAATTATACCTAGCTATAAATGGTAGCTAAATATAAATGGTATATTGATCGGAATCAATAAATCAAAATTATGTTAGAGTCAGGGGCAAAGAACCGTCTGCTGATTTTTTGTTTTTAAGTTACAGACTTACCGCTTTTGAACGGACGACGAAATCTGTTCTGATTTATCTAGCCCGAATGGAGTTACAGGACGTTACGTACCCAAATTTTATGTATGCGCACAAGTTATGATCACAGTCGTAAAAGCAATGGAAACCAAGAAAATTTTCCATACAAGATGTAAGCGGTAATTTTATTCATTATAACAATTTATTAATGATTTTTGTTTTTACTAAACAAAATGCAGTTTTGGCTAATATCATTTCTAATGTGGAAGCAATTTAAGTCCAACGATATTTACGGTGAATCTGGTATATTCACAATTCTGGAACACATTATTTTGTTGTGTTCGCAGTATTAACATAATTCCATACAGACTTGAAGCAATTGTCTATGAATGGATTTATTCTATGCAATTCTTTACTTTATGAACAAAAGCAATTATGCCAACGGTAAACAAAAACATGTGTTATTTTTTACACATTGATAAAAAGTGCAAAGTAGGAATAGAGAATAAAAGAAATGGATTCAGTTTTCAATTTTTTTAGATTTTATATATATTGGAAAGTGAAATTCTTCACTTGCATTTAAGCTAAAAATAAGAGGAACATATGTACATAAGAGTTCTTGTCTTGTTATTTTGGGAAGGAACGATAAACTCTGCCACTCAATAAAAAAACATTTTCACAAACACTAAAGACAAAGGCCAAAAATATTTATAAGTATAAAAAAGTTTTATATTACATAATAGGTACAATGTTACAAAATGTTCTTAAACGATCTGAAGGAGAAAGAAAGAAAAACGAATGGAAAAAGAAAAAAAACAATTAAAAAGAAATAGGAACCAGTTACAATAATGTTGTAGAGGTTTAGAAGTCTAATTTTAATATAATTAACGAGAGAACAACCTAAAAATATGCAAAACATAACCTGAAATATGGTCATACCGTCTCAAGGAGGATACATATCTAACTATACCACCACATAACAGTCTTAATGTGCTAACTTTTGAAATATTCATGGAACTATAAACTTTTCGGGCATAAATTATTAATGGTATATATAAAGCTTTGACCACTTTAATTTTGATTTAAATGGGCGTATAGAAATTCAAGCAATAAAACTTTCTAAATAGAAAATTGACCTGAGAGCACAGGGAATTTATGTGTGCATCAAAGCATAACTTATTATCGATAATCAACCCCAGGCATTTTAAGCTACTTACAATTTCAACATTGGCATTATCTACCCTGAAAGCAATATTAAGATGTATTTTCGGAGGTCTACATATTACATATTGTCGCAAATGCTTTAGGCCAATTCGCCTCAAGTTCATTCGCAGCCACCCAATGTGAAATGCAGTCCACGTGGTAGTTAATGTTAGCTTCACATCCTCCTAGATTGTTAACCTCAAATAAACCCTGCAAATCATCAGCAAATGTGTAGGGCTTACACGAAGCTAGGTTAAACTTATTAAAGAAATCGTTCAAAGACGCGTTGAAGAGCAAAAGGCTAATAATCGAGCTCTGAGACACACCAATGCGCATCTTTACCGGCTCAGACCTGAAAGCACCCGCAGATACAAATTGTAAACGATTCGAGAGACAGGTTTCTATAAAAACAGCAGCTGACTACGAAAAGTCAAAATCCCAAAATCAAAAATTGCAATTGACCCACAACAATAACACTGGTCGATTTGATTAAAATGCCACTGACCGTACATTTAAGGGAGTAGACAAAGCCATGCGGCAAGTAAACAATGCCAATTAGTAGTTTAACCCCTGATGCCTCCACTTTAACAAATAAGTTTTTAATCACCCCATTAACCAACTACGCATGCATAACAGAACACCAAAACGTGGTATCGTCGTTTATGATATTACCTAAATTATTAGTCGTATTCATAACACAGTACAGGATATTAGGAAAATATTGAAAATTCTAGAAAAAAGAAATAAAAAAAAAAAAATATTTCAATTAATAAAATACTACAAATGAGTTCCAAATATATAATAGCTTAACTTAAACCCCATACAACTTCGTAGAAAACATTATCGCGCAAGAGCAACACCAACAACTCCATAGACTGTTGCACTTGCATTGTCATTACGATATTACCTGATTGGACCATCTTTACCTTAAGGATGTCGGCGTTAATCAACTTTTTAATAGTCTTCTTTCTCCGTAAAGAATGTGGAAATTGTTTTTAGTTTGTAAGTTGCAAGAGTTAAATGATCATTTAAACAGATACGCCCCCTAAAACATCACTCAACTTATTAAAAGGCATACCCCCAATACCAAAACGCGCGTATATTGAACTAAATTTAATTAAAAATTTGTTCTCATTGGCTAAATAGTAGTAGTGGTTGCAATCCGCGTACGTTGCTTTAATTTTGCACCGCTCAGCAATCTTCAACACGAACTCTCTCAAATTTTTAGTACAAGATGGCAAGCCACTCCCTATGACATTAGACTTGTTCAAACGGGGAAACTGCACGTTGTGCTTGTGCTCTATTTTAACCAACTTGTACTTCATATCGTTCGAAACATATTGCATTGCCAGTTGATTCGCGGACATCCCGTTCGGCACCCGCAGCAATGTTCACACACACGTTGTGACGCAAAAGCGCGGCTCGCAACTCATTAACTTTCTGGAGACCATAATTGTCCTGTTTTAGCGCTAAATCATAAGTAGTTTTTTTAGACTCATCAGACTCGAATAAAGCTTAGCTTCTATCTCCGCGAAACCATTTTTAATTTTTGAGAAAATATCACCTGCATTCAATGCCTTATCGCACCTAGTACATGTGTACTTCAAAGTTCTTTTTTTAGTATATAAAGTAAATTGCTCTTCCAAAACACCAGCGCAACCAAATGAAGTGTCCGCTTAAAAAGCCCACAATTTTTGCTATTACGACTAATAGTTACATTTTTAGCACACCAAGCAACGACCATGCACCACGATTAATGTTACTGGGGAAAAATATGAAACGATAAATGCAAGCACCAATACAAGCACGCGCTCCGCACTCTTTAACGCTTGTATATATGTTTATAATGTATACTTATATATTTTTCATAAACAAAAACAAATTTTGACTTATACATTTCAACTCTCCGCTTTTAATTTGATACGATTTCTCTTAAAACGCAACAAGCTTAGCAGAATACAAATCATAATAATAATATTGATAAAAAAGTATAGAATATTAACTTAATAATACAGTTCATCTAACATAAATAACATATATAGTCAAAAGTAGAAATTAGATCTGGTACATAACACAGGGTTTATTAGTTATACTAACTGAAGGGCAATTGGGAAATTATCAGTTTTAAATCTATGTGCCTCATTTCAACTTTACCATTCGCGCAAGGCGCAAATTAGTTTTCGCGAGAGAGAAGTATCTGGTTATGTTCTCTTCTTGTTTTTTATTATTCGAGTGCCTCTTATCTATAGTGAAAAGAATGTTAACAATAATGCTTACATCAATATAAAGTTAATAAGAAAATGAAAATAATGCAATGTAAATTAAGTCAGTAATAAATGCTCAGGCTAGTATTATTAAAATTAACTTATTAATAAACTGAAAACTTTGCATGAATGCAAATAACAAGCTAAAGTGAAGCGATAATGCTACAATAACAGCGCTTTCATAAACAACGCGGTTAACACTACGTAAGACAAGAGGTATCAATAGAAAACCGTAATGAAATGATTGATATCGCAGATTCACTTTATGACAAATTCATCTTTAAATAGCTTTTGAACTATTATACCTTATGTGTGTCAACTCTTGTCCACCTGTTTCTAAGTCAACACTTGCCCAGTGTTAGTCTGTTCGTATATCTGTTTGTTCGCTAAGCCATCATAATAATAATATCTACTATTATTTACTTAACACACACAACCTGAAACCATTGCACGCAACTGTCTAACAATTCTTCGTATTGTTTTGAAGAAGGCTACGCATGTTATATGCGTCTGGTTATTTATATTTATTTATTTACTTTTTTAATACATGAAATCCAGTTAACATAAATTGACAGCCTAATTTAAATGGTTCTCAGAAATACATCTTAAGTCAATTGCTGTCAATAACGACTAAAATGTATTTAGAGAGAAGCAAATCAGAAAATTATATACGGGGCCAAATCTTGCGTACCCACCGCTATGTTTTTCGCATTCTACTCTTGATGTTCTTTCATTTGATACCCATATCGCTAGTATTATTAAGAAAAAAGAAATCACGGTGTCTACCATATTCGTTTTAAAATTGACCCATTTTCTGTCTTATTTGCCTTGTGATAAATTAGCGATACATAAGATTTTTTTATGTATTTTTTAAAAAAGTTGTTTCCCTTATTTTTTTAGCACTTAATTATTCTATTGAGCCATGGTGTGCAAGTCCTTTGAAGGTGCGATTGTGTGTTCGGAATAAATGCAAAAATAGCAAAATTGTAGAGCAAGGATATTAGGGCTTCCGTATTTTCAGAAGTAAAGTTAAGCGTAATATGTGCAAGATGAGATTTATGCAGTACAATATCTTCTTTATTAAAATCATATTGTGCATTGGAGCATGGAAAATCTGGCCATGTCAGTTGATACGCCCGACAACTGTATATCTTGAAGATAGATAGTTCGGGATTTGGCCAACCTTGACGGTATGGTAATAGTCTAAAGGCAAGAGTGGCGTATTTTACTTTATGTAATACAAAGCGCAAAGTTATATTAAAAGCTTTGTAGTCTAAATGTTTGGTTCCACGGGGGTCAGGAGCCCGCTCACAGGAACTCAGGTTGGAGAACTAGGAAGGTACGCCGGAAAGTATATCGTCCCTGTGAGCCCTGACTGCTTGGGTACGGCCCTTCGGGGAGTATCGTGGTGGCTGTGGTTTTCACATTTCCATAGCCATTGGAAAAATTCGAGGTAATGATAGGCCTTACCACCTACCAGAGTGGTGGTGCATTTGGCCATACCCAGTGCGCTGTCTGAGAACCTCGGGGTAAGAAAGGCCCCCTTATTAAGGGATTGTCTTTCCCCCCGGGGGGTGATCATTCGACTTAAATGAGTGCCTATGGTTGTAGGCAACCCGTCTGATTAAGGCATCACGCCAGGTGCGGACGTTAAATCCCAAGAGACATCTGTGCATTGGAGCAAGAGGGATTTAGCATGTTAGTGTTATTCAAATTGCTATTCTAAGGAAAGGACAAATTACTGGATGACACGGGTCTTCAGGCAAACTACAAGGTGGAGGGCGATTTACAACCAGCTCTTTGAGATGTCAACCATACAGCCTGAACTATCACCGTAAGACCAAGACAAAACATGAATAAGGGCAGCAAGTTTCTTACAAGTGATAATATGCTCATTCACACATATATAAGTACAAATTATATATAAATGTTTATTGCCAACTTTCACATAGATGGCAATAAATTCGACCTCGGGAGGAATTGGAAATTCCAAGCAAAAGGATGAAAAGGCAATTGACGTGGCAATTAAAACACCACTATTGATTTAATCGATTATTTCTAAAGCATGGAAGGTGATAGGGAAGGTGCGTACGAATGGAAACCTTACTTAAGCCAGGTTTGAACAAAAGCGAAACAAGAGAACTCATTGTTCGCCGAATTTAGACAGGTAGACCGAATTTTTGTGTTAAGATCCCCAACATTTAGTTTTTTGAATGCAGAGGAATCACAGAATTAGTGTTGCGAGGCCAATCTCGCGGAGGAAACTGCTTTATTAAACATCCTAGTGGCCGCAAAAATTTATTTAGGTGGCTCTAGTTTAAGATGTAGACAATTTTAAAATGCTAACACGATTAAGATTAAGAGATGGTGCTTTTATAGCAAGATAACTTTTTATGTTATCACTTGAGGTGCCTGGTGCCAGTCTTGACACAAATATTGCTTTCCGGAGCGGAACTGTTGTCAACGACACAACATTCGAGTTAGAAACTTTAGTATTTGAAGCATTAAGAGACAATGGGTAAGAATTTTGAGACGAGGAAAACCAAAAGAAGTGCTTACTTGTGCAGCTCTGCAGCTGCATCACACGAGCTAGGGGTAGAGGAAGTTTCATTTTTTTGTTTATATTTTTCTGGAGCTTGCGTTAAATGTGGCTATCAGGAGATGAGGCAATTGCCGCATCACCATTGCTAATACAAAGAGGTCTACTCGAATTAACGGTATTATCAGCTGAATTTTCGATGCGAACGATATTAATTTGCTTAAAAGCAAGCTTGGAGCACTCGATACTCTCCCCCGATTTGACGATGACAGGTTCACAAGTACTGTCGACGCAGATAAGGGAGCAGGTAGGAAAACATGGGCAGATGTATGCAAAGCGGGAGGTGATGTACATGTGGGAGAAGAAGAGTGGTTTAAGCAGCGCCTCTCATCGAGTATCGTTTAAATTTAAAAACCAGTGCTTATCTCCAAGAAAGATTTTCAGCAATCGTCGCGCTTTGTACACTCGATAACCAATGTCACCCTTTCGATAGATCCAAGAGTGCGTCTGCAGCGCGGACATACACATCTGCACATTGTTCATGACAGTAACGCTCAAAGCTAACAACTAACGATCCGATCAGGACAGGACGACGTTTAAAACAATAAAAGAGAAACAGAATTGCAAAATTTAAAAACACACGACCACATCGCTCGCGCAGAGGTGCCAAGGTGCAAGACTCATATGCAGAGGTATATGTGTACGTATGCATGTTTTGAGAAAACTAGATAGCACAAGGTAAAAACTGCACTAATAATAATTATATTAATAAATTTCGTTACAGGTTGCAACCTTGGCTGAATAAACTATCGCAGAAATGTAGGATATCGGGTTGTTGTATGTCACTTCCAACTGTTCTTCTTTTACCTTCGTAATTTTAGTATGTTAACGTAAAGTATGTTAATGTTATGATGATATTCCGTAAACTGACCTTCATTTCCGTTAGGATAATGAAACTTTTTTCTCCTGTTATTGTGTTATTATGAGCTTGAGTTCAATTTTATAGTATGTAAATTGAATTAGTTCTAACTTTAAATTTGAGGGTTAAGTAACCAATTTTTAAATCTACGTATTTTAATTAGTTTTAAGTTTTAATTAATTAAATTTTAAATATATGCTTATTAACTAATTTTAGGTCTTAATTAATGGAATTTTGGAGTATGTATATCTATTATAATTCTTAAACAGCTCCAAAAATCTTTAGATTCCTTAGATTCATTATATTGTACGTTTTCATTCGTTTGTAATGTATCGCAAGCCGTTATATACATATACCTATTATTTTCCTTCTTTAACTTATTGTCATTTTGCACGTTTTCTTAGTTACGAAAACGGATAAAGTATAATTTGCCTTTTCTTATTTTCCTCATATCTTAAAAGTTTAAATTAATTATAAGTTGCCATTGTCATGAAATATTGTCTTTGAATACTAAAATATGGTAAAGTCTGAAGGAAAAGTAGGCGTCGGCATCTGAGGACCTAAACCCTAAGTCTCCATTGAAAATGCATCCAAACAAAGGCATAACCATAGTCGAGCCAGTTAATGAGATAAACTATAGCTGTCCGTCTTCTTCTTCATTGAGATATGAAGAACAGGTGAATTCTTCTTAACAACTCTCTGCGCTGTTATTACCGATCTAGCTAGCTTACAATTGCGCATTTCAAAGTGACTGCGGTTTTGGCAAACCTAAGCCAAGCTATAGGTTTTTCTAAAAATAATATATTGCCAAATTTTCCGTTTTTCTGGTTCCGTATTCATACACGCATAAAAAGATATTGTTTTTTGTCGTCAAATGAAATTTAGGTGAATTATGAGTATTAAAAAAACTAATATTGTAACGAAATTCGCTTTTCTCGAATACAGTTCGTATCACTGGATCGGGGATTTTCTTTGTAAGAGAAACACACTTGCGCGTTTTCACTACAAGACTCTCTTATTTACAATTAATTTGTTTAAGGGCAGAACTATTTACATATTTCTTTCGCAGTACTCTCGACTTCCTAACTCTAATATTCTTTTTTGACTCAAATGTTCTTGTCCGACTCACTCTGCCTTTCGAAAATATTCTATCTATATACATTTTTACAAGCTTATTACTATTACTAAGCCCATGGCTTCATTTTTAATCCGTTGACCTGCTTTTCCGCTAATCGTTTTCCGTCGGCCGACAGCTGGATGACGCGCCGCGAATGTGCACTTGGTTTTTCTTTGTCTAGGGGATTTATTTTTGTGGGAAAATTAATTAGCGGGAGTGAACTGGAGTTGGGATTTTCGCAACAATATATTGGTCTTTCGAACATATACAAATAAAACATATGTTCAAGCGCAATATTCTTTGGGAGAAATTGACCATAGCGAATTTAAAAGTAATAACTTACTTAATTTTACTCTGTTCTTTCTTGAGCTTAACGATAAGCTCATTTCTCATTTAGACTTTATAAAAAAAAAGCACAAATAATAAGAAAATACACCGTATTGTTCCACAGCTAATCATAAATTCAAATTCCGTAAATTAAAAATAAGGAAATTTATAGGTCACACACAGATTGACCCGAATTTTTCCTCATATTCATAGTAATCACCGATAACGATCATGAGTTAAGCAATATTGCAAAACTTCAATATTTTGGTCCTAGTTTGAAGGGCGCGGCTGTGGATACAATTTCATTATTGGAACCTATTGAAGCTAACTACACTACGGTGATTGATTTATAAAAAAAAAAGATTTCAGACGCTCATTAAGAAAATTTTTGAGCTCACAGATCTTGAGCAATTAAGGCGCGGGCATGTGGAGAAATATATTTACTTTTCCTGCATTTACAGCAATCTAAATAATTTCTATTTATTATTATTCTTCAATGTAATTTTGAATTCAGAAGATATATTTGTCGTTGTGAAAAGTTTGTTTTAAATTCTTACTTCTGTAATAAATTTTGTAATTTGTGGCTTGTTCTTCTTTAAAGAGGGTCTTTGCTCTGCTCTTAACAGGTTATATGTCCAGATCCGTAACCATTGCAGAAATATTTTTTCCAATTATGGAACATCAAAAATTCAAATGGGAATTTTTCTAA